TTCCGGGTAGCGCCTTTCCCCGGGCGATTTAAAACGGGCGTTAAACATGCACATGAATCACCCCGGTGAACCCCGCCGGTGAGTTAGCTGCTAACGTCAGTCAGAGCACGTGGCGTAAGTCGGTGAATATTAGAGGATATTATGTTTTGTGTAATTATCTTGCAGAAGCAGGGAGGTGTAAAATCCTGATTTCCTTCTATTTAGGGGGTTAAATCTCAGCTGGTGCCTAAAATTGGGTTCCTGCATGGGGCAATGTCCTGGTTTCGGCTTGGATAGAGCAAACGTCCCCCCGGAGCCTCTATCTGCTTCAGGAGGTTGAGGCATCCCCTCTCCTGTGTGACATCTCCTCCGTGTGAGCACGGGCAGCTGAGCCAGGCTTTGGACCTCCTTGGTGGTGGCTGTGGTGCCTCCTACCCAGGCTGAAGGGTAGGAGGTGCTTGTGGGTGCTTGTACGGCCTTGGCCTGTCCTTGCATTGGAGCATTCTCCTCCTTGGTTGAGTCTCCCAGACTCAAGTTGGTGGTGGAGCTTCTTGGGTGGCACCTCCAAGCTGGGCCTGCTGGTGGAGCTTCTTGGTTGGCACCTCCAAGCTGGGCCTGGTGGTGGAGCTTCTTGGGTGGCATCTCCAAGCTGGGCCTGGTGGGGGAGCTTCTTGGGTGGCATCTCACAGCTGGGACTGGTGGTGGAGCTTCTCAGCTGGCACCTCTGACTTGGGATGCATGGACAGGGATGGGGGTGGCATGGCCGGGCGGGTGTTTTCCTGGGGAAGGAGCCCTCCTGAATGATTTTATTTCCTTCCTTCCTACAGCTGATAGTCGAAAAAACGACTGACTACCCTTCGGCTGAGTACTCCCTGGTGGAGGATGTAGCCCTCCACTTCACGTGTTTGATGGACAGACTGAACGAGCAGCGCCTCTTTCAGCCGGACCTGTGCGACGTGGACATTGTGCTGGTGCAGCACAAGAGCATCTTCCCGGCGCACAAGGGGGTCCTGGCAGCCTACAGCCAGTTCTTCCACTCTCTCTTCACCCAAAACAAGCAGCTGCAGCGTGTGGAGCTCTCTCTGGAGGCCCTCACCTCACAGGGCCTCCAGCAGATCCTTAACTTCATCTACACCTCCAAGCTCCTCGTCAACTCCTGCAATGTGCAGGACGTGCTGAACGCGGCCGCCGTGCTGCAGATGAACAACATCGCCTCCTCCTGCCAGGACCTCCTCGACACCCGCTCGCTCAGCCTGGCCGCCGACATGGCCCTGCCCGCCGAGGGCTGTGCCGGACCCCCGCCCTACTACTGCGAGATCAAGCAGGAGGTGGACATCCCCCATCCCAAGATCTACGCCCGGGAGGGCAACGACCCGTACTCGGTGCGGGTGGAGGATGGAGCAGGCGGTGGGACGCTCCCGCCAGGTCCAGCCAAGCAGTACTACAAGGAGGAGAAGGATGGTGGTCCGGGTGCCGTCTGTAAGATGGAGGGTGAGGAGTCTGAGGAGGACCTGGACAGCCAAGCCTCCTACAACCGGGAGCAGATCATTGTGGAGGTGAACCTCAACAACCAGACCCTCAATGTCTCCAAGGGCACGGAGGGGAAGGGGGCCGCCAGCGAGGCGGCCGTGATGGGGCGGCCTGACGGTGATGGGTGCGACACAGAGGAGGATGGGGAGGAGGAGAATGAGGAAGGGGAGGAGGAGGAGGAAGAGGAAGAGGACGCGGAGGTGGGCGAGGAGGAAGAGGAGGAGCACAGCGAAGAGGAAGACCTGGAGGAGACAACGGAAGAAGAGGACGATGACGATGACGATGAAGACGCGTCAGAGGTGAAAAGGGAAAAGGGTGGGCAGCCACGCAGAGGCAGCCGGGCATCCAAAGCCACCAAACCTGCCATGGCAACCAGGTCCCAGGAGATGGCCAAGGTGGAAGAGGAGGAGGAGGAAGAAGAGGAAGGCCAGCGAGGGAGGAAGAGGAAGAAGGAGCAGGACGGTTTGGGCCAAAAGGTGAAGCTGGAAGAGAAGCAGCACTACCCATGCAAGAAGTGCCCCCGGGTCTTCAACAACCGCTGGTACCTGGAGAAGCACATGAATGTCACGCACAGCCGCATGCAGATCTGCGACAAGTGCGGCAAACGCTTCCTGCTCGAGAGCGAGCTGCTGCTGCACCACCAGACCGACTGCGAGAAGAACATCCAGGTGAGCCAGCCCCGGGGATGGACATCCCACCAAGGGGGGAACATCTCACCAAGGGGTGGAGCATCCCAATGGAGAGGGACATCCCACCAAGGTGGGAACATCCCACCAAAGGAGGAGCATCCCACCATGATGGGACATCTCGCCCACCATGGAGGACATCCCACCCAGCTACACCATGGGATGGACTCATGCTCAAATAGTATTTTTGATGTTGCGGGTGGCACATGGCAGACAGGAGGGAACCTTGCTTTGCCCGTGACTCGTATCTGGGCTTGGGAGGGTACCATGGTGTCATGGGACTGGAGGTTTCATGCTGGGAGACTGTGGCTTCCCCTTGGCCGGCTGGGTGGAAACATGGAGTAATTTTTGAGGAGTAATTTTTCTTTGAGTTTGTTCAGTTAATCGGGATAAAGCATTGCAAGCCCCTGATGGAGACACACTCCAGCTGTTCCCACCCAGGCTGAAACCAATTTAGCTTAATTCAAAGATTTGCTGACACGAGTTAAACTGGTTTTAATCTGCCTTTTGTGCTCTTTAGCTTGCGTATTAGCAAATTTCCAAATGCATTTGACATCCGTGTGTGGCTTGGGCTCGGTGTGTCCTTCGCCTAATGCTAACGAGATCCTGCATTTGCAAATTGACTCTGTCAAATCAGGGCAATTTTGGGGGGATAGGTAGGCATGCCATCAGAGCAGGTCCCTCCAACCCATCTCCTAATCCCCAATGAGCTGTTCCGCATGACGCTGCCACGACTAATTAAAAAGCCGACAACTTCTGGAGAGCTTCGCCCGTCGTCCTTCCCACCATGACTGGATTTTAAATGATCTTGCAGCTCTCCTAGACGAAGGTAACGCAACCCAAGTGCTACTGGAGCCCTTTGCTGATGGCATCCCGAATAAAACGGGCGATGAAGCAGATCTCGGCGTTGGGGCGTGCGGGGAGTACGGAGACAGGAGCGGTCTTGGCTCAAGCGGGTGACGGAGCCGCTGCCCACGCTGGCCTTTTGGTGCATCTTCCTGAAAAATTCACAGCCCTGAGGTTGTTTTTTTTTGGATGCTTTTCCCCAGAACGGATGAGTGTAGCTCCCATACCTGCTGTTTTGGAGCCTATCGTAAAGCTGTGCAATTAAAAATGGGTTTTCCCAGGATATTTCTTCAGGCTCATCTGCTCTCCTGATGGATAACATGGCGCTGTCACCTCATTGCTTTTTTATTTTTTCCCCTTTTTATCCCTTTTCCAGGTCATTTCTGAATAGGATGAACCGCAACTGCCCGTGCGGTGACCTCCCTCCATGGAAACTGTGGATCATTACCTCTCACTTAGTTGAGCGTTTTTAATTTTATAAATAGCCAAATTCACTTCATTTGCTCTGATAATATTGAATAACTTTATCAATATACATGGAATTATAGCTGGATGGAAAAGAGATTTTTTCAACTCTAGACCTATAATGGTCTTTTGTTTTTTAACCAGATCCATGGAGGAACTGTTCCTCTTACCCCATTCGGGTCTGCTGCTTTCTTTTGCTGCTTTGTCCCCAAATTTCATCCATGATGCTTTAAGTGTTAGGCTCCGTCTGCCTCCCTGTGATCGTTTCCCATCACCGTGGGATGTGGCCCTGCGGACTCCGTAGCAGGCATCTGCTTCCGCCGCCTGAAAAACGATTCATCCTTTGCTTTATCAATCAAGTTGTTCCTCAAACTCTTTTTGGGGTTTTTTTTGGCCAGCTTCAGTATGGTTTTTCTCTGCAGGAATTTATCTTCTCATTTTTTTCCCTCGTTTGGACATGACTTCCACATTTCTGAGTGACGCTTTTTTGCGGTAACTGAGGACACAGAACTGAGCCCTCCAGGGCGCTTGGTCCCAGCCCGGGGGCTTTCCTACATCTGCTGCTTTTCCTCTGCCTCAAAGTGAAAGATGCTGCAGGGAAATTTTAAAATTAAAGTGGAGAAAATGGATATTGATGTGTCTTTGATAACAGGCTCTGGTCCTGAATTTGTCCTGAAATGTCTCTTAAAACAGGAATTAAACTGTTCTGATCCCTGGAAGTATTTACAGGAACGGTGAAACTCAGAGGACTACTCATGTTGGTATTCAAGCATGTCAAGATAAAGACAACAACTGTTGGGAGTGCTTCTCTGACCCTAATTTTTCCTTCCAGGCACCTAAATAAAAATATATATAGCAAGGTACTGTGACTACAGGGCATAACAGTATATTTTCCACGGTATCACAGCCTCATTCGGTGCAAAATTTGGTGGAAGCCCATCAACAAGCGTCTGTTCCTCTGGGTAGGAGACGGTGGAGGCTGTGCTGCCTGCACTGCTTCAAGCCCTGCTGGGAAACCCCCCCTGGGCTTACTGGTACCGCTCAGCCATGCCCTTGCTAGATGCCTCCAAGGCATGAATTATTTTCTCAGTGCACCTGGGTGGAGAAGGGATGGTTTTATCCCTGTTGGCCAAGAGGAAGATGAGTCACGGAGAGATGAAGGGGAAGGAGTGTCCCTTGGCTGGGTGCTGCCAGCTGTACCCATGCTCCAGCCATGGTTTCTTCTGCGGACCTTGCTCTCCCGTCTTTCCCTGAGCACCGAACCGATCTCACGCTGAAGTTGGAGCTTTTCCTGGGGACTTTCCAAGAAACTTTGAACTCGGAGCTGAAACAAATCTCTACTGTATCTTCTCGGGGGAGACTTTGCACATCACGTTGTTCTGCTTGTGCTGATGGACTGGGTTTTGGGTCCATTTTGGTCCATTTGGATATGTTTGGAAACCTCATTTAGCAGTTAAGTATCCGTAATATCTGCCGAAGACTGAAATTGCGCTGCCCTCGCTTGGGCTTCTCCTTGTTCCTATATTCTTTGCAGCCTTCTAATGCACGGAGGGATGGGTGCTTTTTTTAATGTAAGGGCTTCATTGTGTGCAATAATAAAATCCCCAGTTGGGAATAGGGCCTTGGTGCATGAGCTGCTGTTTATGCAAGTCCTAATACGTCCGTTGATGGAGATGCCGCATCCTTCCCTGGAAAATCATTGTCCCTTCCTCATCCGATGGATAGAAATTTGAGTTTTGGAGGTTTTGAAGTGTCAAGGTCTGTAGCAGACTTGCTGGTCGTTACGATTTTCAATGTCTTAGCTGTAGGTTTCATATGGGTGAAGCTGACAGCCTGGTAAAAGGAAAATGCTGGTGGTGCCTGGGCACATTCTCCTGCTTCCCTACCTATCCCCTCTCCTTGCAGTGCGTGACGTGCGGGAAGGGGTTCAAGAAGCTGTGGTCCCTCCACGAACACAACAAGATTGTCCACGGCTATGCCGAGAAGAAGTTCTCCTGCGAGATCTGCGAGAAGAAGTTCTACACCATGGCCCACGTGCGCAAACACATGGTTGGTGAGTGCGGGAGGCACTGTGCCATGGGGAGAGCTTGTTAAGGGTGTTCATCCATCTTTTTGGCAATGAAGGGTGTTTTTTTATTGCTGTCATGTTGGGATTTTAGGGTTGGGCTTACTCTTGGGTGAGCTTCCTCATGTCAATGCAGGGGCCTTGAAATTTGGCCCGGTATTTAATGCTGAACGTGTGTCTGCTCAGTGCTGGGACTGGAGCAATCAGGCATGGCACTGGGGATCTCATTTATTTTATTTAACCAGAAAAAAAAGACCTCAGAAGTGATCAAAGGAGGGTTTGAATTGTAACCATCCTTCTCTTGTAAAAGAGGACCGGACCACACCAGTGCTGGGCTTTGAAAAGCAAATTGCGCATGGCAACGGCGGTCAGGTCCATAGGGCTTGCAGGCACCAAAGAAATAAAAGGAAAAAAGGGAGGTTGGCAGGCAATTAGGGAAGTACCTGATACGTTCCTGCTGCACATCTTCCCGAGAGGACTTTGCTGGGGTTGGGCACCGGCGTTGGGAGCAGCAGCCAGGACTTGGGGAGATGGGTGCTCGGGGCGTGGGGAGGGTGCCTGACCTTGTTCCTCTCCGCATCAGCTCACACCAAGGACATGCCGTTCACCTGCGAGACCTGCGGCAAGTCCTTCAAGCGCAGCATGTCCCTCAAGGTCCATTCGCTCCAGCACTCTGGGGAAAAGCCTTTTAAGTGTGAGGTAAGATCCCATGTGTCGCCCGGCCCCGCGTCCTCTCAAACGGGCACAAAAATGCTGATTTGGTGGAAAGATATTCCACTTCTTGGGGCTTCCCCTATGCTTTGTGCCAGTGCAGCTGTAGGGATGCTCCCATGCTCTTCCAAACTTTGCATCCTCTCCTAGTTTGAGGGTCCCACCAACCTTACAATGAAATTTGTCTAATGCCAGGATCTGTCCTTACAGTGCCTGGACCTTGCCTCCCACCCCAAGCCCATCCAGCCTGCAGACCTGGCTGGATACGTCCCAAAAAGCCATTTATTTGCGTTCTTTTGTGGGGAGAAAACTAATTTCTGCACTGCTGTGACACGCCGGTGATTTGGGGGGGACGCGGGGTGTGTTTTGGGTGCTCATCAGCAGCTCGCCCCCCCCCTCGGTCCTTACAGTGCCTGGACCTTGCCTCCCACCCCAAGCCCATCCAGCCTGCAGACCTGGCTGGATACGTCCCAAAAAGCCATTTATTTGCGTTCTTTTGTGGGGAGAAAACTAATTTCTGCACTGCTGTGACACGCCGGTGATTTGGGGGGGACGCGGGGTGTGTTTTGGGTGCTCATCAGCAGCTCGCCCCCCCCCTCGCCCCACGAGCGCTTCCAGTACAAGTACCAGCTGCGCTCCCACATGAGCATCCACATCGGCCACAAGCAGTTCATGTGTCAGTGGTGCGGCAAGGACTTCAACATGAAGCAGTATTTTGACGAGCACATGAAGACGCACACGGGTGAGAGCCCCTCGCCTTGCCCCCGGCCCCAGTGGGCAGGCACCCTGGGGGGAAGAGCAGTGGGATGGGGGTAGCATCTTTGGGTGGATGGCAGGATGGGGTTTGGGGGCGGGTAGCGGTCCAGCTACCAGCTTCTCATCCGTCTTCCCCCCCGCTTAGGGGAGAAGCCCTACATCTGCGAGATCTGCGGGAAGAGCTTCACCAGTCGCCCCAACATGAAGCGGCATCGCCGGACCCAC